TTATTTGCTAAACGTGCCTTTCTCTGTGTCTGCAGTGACATGCTTGCATATCCGTAGAAAGGAGAAAAATAAACCAAAGTCACTGACTGCCAATTTCCTAAGAGGTGAGAATAAAGACTGTGAGCTTCAGCAGCTGTCAAACTCCATCCACACCCTCATGCACGAAAAAAAAAATGTGCTTGAAGGAATGGCTCTAAAAGCAAAACTATATTTCTTTTCAATTGTAAAGGTGATGTTAGATATTTGGTAGGAGAGGGAGAGATTACCGAAGGGGCAAAAATGAAAAAGAAAATCTTGTCTAAGTTTCATGATGAAAAGACATTCATTTATGTACTGTCTCAAGTCATAATGAACCAAGGAAACCACCTGTGTGACACACAAGTCCAAGGAAGACTGTCACCCTCAGGCAGTATTTTCAGAATTTTTAGTATGAACTGCCTAGAATAATGTTTGATCCATAAAAGACCGTCAAGAGTGGAAAACTTCGACCCCCCTAGAATAATTAAACTGATGAAGATTTCTAGAAGGGTAACGAGAAGAGGGCACATGGTGGAGCTGTTCTTGGGGGTGACATTTTCTCAGCCGCTACGCATTGCCAGCTTAGAAACCACTGCACGGCCAGCTGAAGTGACAGGTAGGCACGCCTGAGTAATGACCGGCACACTCCCATGGCCTTCCTTGGCCTAATGAAGAGGAGGCAGCAATGCAGCCACATAAGAAGTCCTGCCTCAGTCTTGCACCTGCGTCCGTTCAGCCTCAGAAGCAGTACGGCCAGAGCTCTTGCCTCCATCCCCGGGGATCTCAATAACCACAGCGGAGAAACTAGGGTGTTGCCTGTGCTCCAAGACAAATGATATTCTTTTCTCTTTGCGAGGCGCCAGAACATGTAAATAACGGAAAGTACAAATATTCCAAAGTTTTTAGTTTAATCTTAATTTTTTCCTACATGTATCAGCTTCATGCAGATACTGCTGGGTATAAGATAGAGGTCAGAACTTAAAAGTCATTATTAAGCGATAACACTCCTTAGTTTTTACTCTAATTTATTAACTCAATTTAATCCAATATTTAATTTCAATGCTGATTTTATTTTTTTTGTTTAGAGATTTTCTTTATTTATTATTAGAGAGAGGGGGAGGGAGGGAGAAAGAAAGGGAGAGAAACATCAGTGTGCATGGGGAACATCGATCAGTTGCCTCTCCTACGCTCCCAAACCGGGGACCAAACGTGTAACCCAGGCATGTGCCCTGACCAAGGATCAAACCAGCGACCTTTCACTTTGAGGGACAATGCCCAACCCACTGACCCACACCGGGCGGGGCTCAATGCTAATTTTAAAATATGCTTTGTAATAAATATTTTCTTCAACATCTGGAATGGTGAAACAGACTCGAATTTTATTTGGGACACTGCCACCTGTGTAACTGCACTGTGGGAACTGAGAATTTAAACAGAGACATTAGAGAAGGCCAAATACAGCGTTCATAACCCAGCTGTGCCATACTCGCTTATTGATATGTAATGCCTTGCATATTTATGTAGTGTACATATAAGCATATACACCCTTTAATGAATAGAGCATTAGAGATGGATAAAGTAAATGGCGGTATGAAAATGAATTATATATACTCACACATAGCCTTACATCAGTCAAAACAGTCTGGTCATGTGCTTTTTTCCTGCTGTGGATATTAACTATTTTGTGAATTTAGGACATATCTTAATCATAAGTACCAAAATCTACTGTCACAAAAAGTTCTGAGTTGAGACAAAAACCTGTGAAAGAATCCAGCATTTAGGAAAACACAAATAACATGCGAAACTGAGCATTCCATTTAAAGCATTCACAGAATGCTCCTCTGTGTCATAGTCTCAACCAAAGCTAACTTCCTGAGTTTCCACATGAGGAAACAGAAGCCAGGGTAAGCAGTATACCTCAAGTTCCACAGCTAACTAGTAGAGAAGTCAGAGCTACAATTTCAGAGTCTTGGGTCAAATGTTCTCTTTGACTCAAGTCACTCACATGGTTTCCTTTTCAGATTACAAGGTTATTCATTTATTAGTTCCTAATCTCTTTGAGAGCAAAATCAAGCTTAATCTACACCATATGCCCTAACAGCTAACTCAGAATTTGCTAACAGGTGGGAAGATGTCACTGACCACAGCCAACTGGAATGTTCGCTCTGCAACGGCTGGGGTCTGTAGTGAATCACCCACAGAGCCTCTCTCTGAAGTCCCTTGGGAAATAAGGACGCTGGTTTATAAAATGTCTGGTCATTTTCCTCTGTGCAAAATGACCCAGCTTTCCCATGGATCTCAGCTCCACTGGCCTCTCCTTCAACTAACTGAGTAAAGTAGTTCCACAAACCAGTGTCTTCACTGACTCACTCAGGGGAGGGACCTGCCAGGGACACAAGGACAATTACTTCCTTCATCTTTGCTCCGAGTTTCAGCTGAAGGTGAGGCAAGTAGGAAAATATTTTTGCTAGTGTTTGACATATTTAAAAAGCAAACTAAGCTCATATATTTTTAATACATGATATGAAAACTCCTGCAAAGCATCAAATACAGAGTCAAACAGGTTATAACAGTAGCAAGATCAGAAAAATGGCTATTTTTAGTGCTAGTGCATTGTACCCAAAAGTCGCTGCTGAGAGAATTGCAGTAAATTGTCACTGCAAACCTATAAGGTGGGCATGTTAAAATCCTCATTTTACACATGAGGAAGCTGGCCCAGAGGATCACGGGAAAGGTGGTGGTGGAGCAGTGATCTGAATGCAAAGCAGTCTCACAGCAAAGCCCACACACTCACATCAATCCTATATTTGTGTTAAGAAATAGCTTTTTCCTAGTTTAGCAATTTTATTAAGTTCATTCTTGGCTTCAAGGTTCATACTTTGGGCACTGTTTTACAAAGCTCCCTTACAACAAAAGTTAAACTTAATAAGCTTGTTTAGAAATTGCTCTGAGAGCTCCTTCTGAGATCCAGCCTGCCGGCTTGGATCCATTTTTATTTCTCTTTCATTTTCTTAGACTCTTCAGGTCTCACAAGCTGATTCTTCCCCGGGGCTGTCACTTTTCCAGGCTCTTGCTGTGACTGGTGAAATATCCTCATCATTTCTAGGGGACCCCAGGCACCTCTTTCTTCTGGATCTATTTTCTCTTCCTCTCTGTAATCCCACCTTGTACCTGGCGCTCTTCTCTGCCAGGGGAGCAAGCCTTACCATACCACGTACACATCAGACAGGGCTTCCACCTCGCCAAGAGCCCAAACTGATCTGTGAAAACATCTTGCTCTCTCCTCTCATGCTTAATTAGCACAGCCCACTGAAGCAGACAAATCACCTGGCTACTACCTACAATCAGCTTGTCTGCTTTTGCAGGTGTTCATTTCAGCATCACTCCCTAGGGCTGTACAATCTAAATTTCTGACAGGGCCCTGAACACGCAAAATACAATCATCACCAAAAGATATGCACAAAAACACTCAGTGGAGCACTATTTGTAATACATCCAAACTGGAAAACCACCTAAATATCCAGCAACTGTAAAAGAGACAGACAACTGAATACCATAATAGCAAGGAAAAGGAAAATAAACTAAACTATAGGCAACATCCTAAACAAGTTCCACAAACATTAAGGAGGAAATTAAGCCAGACACAAAAGAATGTATACTGTATTTCATTTATATAAACTTTAAAAACAGGCAAAACTAATCGACTGGTGTGGCATTAGAAATTAGGAAATAGGCTACTCCTGGGAGAATTAGGAGAGGGGGGTTCTGGGGTGCTGGTGATTTTCTGCCAGTCTGGGTGCTATTACACAGGTGTGTCTGTTTACTTTGTCACAATTATTCCATCAAGTCTTCCTCTTATGATCTGTACTCTTTCCTCCGCGTACCAGTTACTTCCATAAAAAGCTTCACTGAAAGAGATCCTGGAGAATATCTGGTGTGCCCTCCCTGGTTGACAGGAGAGCATGTAGCTGTTTCCCATGGAGGTTAAACATCTCAAGGACACAGGAAATCCAAGAAAAGCTGAGACTGAACACTGGTCCTCTTAACTCCCCCTCCAGGTACCAAAGCTACGCGTCAGACACGGGAGGATGTTTTGCTAATTTCGTTCCTTGTTCTGACCATGGCTAAGGTTTAGAAGGATGAGGATCACATTCGTATTAAGAGCACAGCTCAGAAGTTTCCAGTCTCCTACCGAGAGATGCACCAGAAAAAGCTTCAAACACTATTTAGGATATAGCACATCAGAAAGTCAGACGGCGCTGTGCTCACACCCTAGTCCTGCCACTTACGAGCTGTGTGACCATCAATCAGCACGCTTCTTACCTCTCTGTGAATCTCAGCATCTTCATCTAAATCACCTAAAATATTAACTCCTGCTCTGCAAGGTTGGCAGGAGGATAATATAAGGTTGTGGTGTCAAGGCACTACCTGGCAACTTGGCAAGTACTCAAAAAACAGTCATTGAATGAAAACTGAATTTAATTAGTCAAGTGTTTGTCACTCAGTACAGGCTCAATACGTAATTAAGTATTATTATTACTAAGCAAGAGAAACTGGGAAAAAGGGCGTAAATAAGCTTGTATGAAAACACCTCCTTTTTCTATAGAGTCATTATGGGAGGACCAATGACTTTCACTGGGTTAGATGGGGCACTGAAATGGTCTCAGTAAAGAGCAATAGAAGATTTGAAGGGAGGGCGGTGCTTTTTACATGCTACCAGGTCTGTGTTTTCCTTCTCAGTGTCAAAACATGATTTGCTCCTTGACTGCCGCAACATGCCTACATTCTACAGCCATCTATGTCAGTCATATTAGTCTTGGAATTAAAATTTTAAAGATTGGGGTGGGTCATAAATTCTCACCTACATAATAAGTACACTGACTTTACTACTGGGAAAATATTACATTCCAAGTATACAGAAAGGCAACTGCAGGCTTTAAAGATGTCAGAAATGAAAAATGGTGAAGAGTGAGTTCACTTACATTAAAAAAGACAGGTTTAATACTGATTTTTTTCTTCAGCTCTTCAAATCTTACGTGCACTTATTAGCAAACTGATCCATAAAGTTCTTGAATACTGAAAAGAAACAAATATAAAAAAGATAAATTAAAACTAATTTCAAATCATAGCACACCAAAAAACAAATAAAATAAAATCTGTAGCTGGTAAGCTGCTGCAAACACCAAGACCATCAAACTAGATAACATATGTGATTAAACTTTTAAAATGTGTTAAGGCCCAATACATTTAGCTGATTTAACTTCCTCCCATTTAGCCTTCTGTCCTTCCCTCCTCCCCATCCAGCACTCCCTCCCTCTGCTCTCCCTCACTACGCTACTCTCCCTTACGACCTGGGTTACAGGGCAGCCTCAATGTTCCTTGAAGCCTCAGTTTCTGCTGAAATAACCATCATTAATTTTTATAGCCCAAAGTACTTGATACATGTTTGTTACTCTATGACTGTTTGTTGAATAAATTAGCCACAATTTTACAATATTTAGTTCAGATTTTAAAAACGAAGAAATTTATTATTTTCTTGTCCAACAGGAGCAATATGTAGAAATATAATACACTGCTTTTTAGACTTGGTTTTTGATTGACTCCCTATCTCTTTTAAATATCTATACTTAGGAAAAAAGTCCCAACAGTATATACATGGACATGTGGAATCCCACCATCATAGTAATAAAATAAATTTTGGTAGTAAAGGAATATTTAGAAAGTGTAAGTTCCTTTTGAGGTGCTCACTCTTTGAGTACTTCAGAACTACCTCCATCTAAATGAGAAAGCAAAGTATCTCCAAGTTAAATACTAGAAATACTACCTCACATGTGCTTTTCAAATGTATACATAGTCAGGCCATCCCAGACAAAATAATGAAGTAGGAGTGTAGCAGCTTCCTTCTTCTAGCTGCACCTTTGACTCAGTGATTCCAGATGTTTAATTAAGTAGGGAAAAAACAGGATCGGCTCCAAAGTTCCAACAACTTGATGGATATCCTTCCTAAGGACATTTTCATGTTAAAAAAAAAAAAAAAAACACCCTCCAGAAAGCAGGTGCTTACCACCAAAATAAAATGAATTACTGACAGTGGAATTTCAGGCACAAATGGAGAATACAGATTGTCTTGAAGGAATTTCTCAACTCAGGTTCACATCTGTCCATTCGGCCTCCCCTAAAGCTGGCTTCATATATGATCTACATAGAGGGGTGGGCAAAAGTAGGTTTCCAGTTGCAATACAAACAATGCAATAGTCATAAATAATACAAGAATAAACTCTGTTTTGTGTACTTGCAGCTGTAAACTTACTCTTGCCCACCCCTGTATAAACACCAGTCTAGGTAAATTTTAAGCAATTTATGATGCATACATAGGGAAGCCTGATTTTAAGATTAGTTTGTGCTCCAAAAGTAAAGTTTTATTAATCATCAGTTTTCAAGGTGAGTGTCTGGGAACCTCTCCCATAGGTGCTTCTGAGAAAGGAGGCAGGAGTGAGTGGGTGCACTGTAGTGGGAAGAGCAACTTAACCTTTATCTCTCTTTTATAATTCGATCCAAAACTTGCTTAGAGAAGAGGTTACTTGTGCTGCTTATGCAAGGATTGAAACTAAATGGTGATTAAAGAGTGCAGAAAACTCCCAATGAGTTCATAATATAGCTGGTCTAGAATAGCAATCCCACGGAAATCCTACCACTATTCCTAACAGAGCCTTTACGGGAAAATGTGAGTTCTAGGTTGGGTCCCAGAACGCAGGTCAGCCTGGGTCCATGCAGGCAGGAGCCAGGCCTTCTCTTTCTTCCTACGCAATGCCTTTGTCTCTGGTCTTGGGACAAGCAGCAGTAGGCAGGACACCTATGCTTCCGTCAGTACTGAACCAACAGTGAGGGGCTGAGGAGAGGGTGGGGAGAGCCTGTGGATATTCCCGAAGTGAGGAACGAGGGGCTCCAGCAGGGGGCAAGGCCCAGCGGGTTTCTGTGAGTCAGTCACTTCCCCAGACCCCGCCCCAATCCCCATGAGCCCTCTTGCAAGCAGTGACATGTGCAAGGTCTAGATACTTCACATACATCCAGGCCTCTTAGGAATGAGGGACTAGAAAGTCAGTGGCACCGTTTAAAGAGAAGAATAAACACAAACCTATGTTCTGTAAGACCCAATTCAGAACACCATGAAAAATTAAAAAAATTTTTTAAAACAGTATTCCAAGGAAGTATTGCCTGAATTTGCTCCAGAGGAATTCATTTCACTAAGAGGCACCGGTATATTCATCCCTCCTTCAGCACAAAGCTCCGATTATTTGACCCAACCAGGACTGAATACAGAAAAACGTTTATAAACATAAGCCACTAGATTTTTTGAGTTTCCATCATGAGCCTTGTTTAAGTAAGTCAAAGATGTCCTTTGTTACACAGTTTTGATCAAATGCAAGAGACTTCAGTCATTTCCTCAGAGACAGACGCAAGCTGTAAATATGAACCAACCAACACAGCCAGCCACTCGCAAAAAGGCTCACTGACAAGTTTAACATAAAAACAAGAACGCATTATTAAACCGAAAAATAAGCCATAAAAAGAATCCAAACCCATGCAAACAACATTCTTAGCAGAAAAACCCATAGTGTAAGGACAAAGATAATTACGAAGAGCCTTTTATCTGACTCACAATCTTTTCTTACAATTTTAAAAAACAAAAACCAAAATCAGTCTGTATTTGTGTTCATTTAATAAAAACAAACCCTTAACATCCTGCCCAAACCTCAGATTACAAATTCCAAGAAAATCCTCCAAACCATTAAATAGAGGACTTCTGCATATCCCCTTGCAATGGATAACACACTTACTACTACTGCTTATTTTCTAAATCCCTTTGAGATTCTAAAGCATGCCCATCACCATTGAGAGTAATACATTAGACATAATCATTAGGAAGTGAAGTTATACTGTTCACAATAATAATGCCATATTTCATATTTTAAACTAAACCAAAATCCAAAATTTCTATTCAGGTATGACATAAGCATCTAAAGCAGCGGTTTGAACACAGGAGCACAGATGGCCTGCCACGGTTTTTGTAAATAAAGTTTTATGAACACAGCCATGCCTGTTCACTTACTTGTCTATAGCTGCTTTTGTAATGACACAGAGTTCAACAGTTGCAACAGGGATGGTAAGACTACAAAAGTATAAAATATTTATTATTTGATCTGACCCTTTAAGAAAACGTTTGTTGACCTCTGGTCTAGGAAACGGCCATGTTAGTGAACTAAATCTCGAAATAAGAAACACTAATCCTGGCTTTGTCATCTTGCTAGATAACTACCTAAGTCATTTAATCTTTGGCTACTTTAATTTTCTCATTTACAATAAAATAGTAGATAATATTTACTGGGAACTTACGTACCAGGCACTAATCTAAGGATTTTACTTTAAGGAAATTAACAATGAAGTCATTCATTTAATTCTGGCTAAAACCCTGTGAGGGGAGGAAATGATTATCCTAGCTTATAGATGAGGAAACTGAGGCAGAGGGGTTAAATAGCTTGCCCGCGGCCATATCACCATTAAGCGAAAAAAATCAGGATCACAACCTTAGTCCAGAGTGGGTATTATTCCTCTCTGTGCTAGACTGATGATAATCTTAATTTTATACAGTTTGCAGATAATAAAATGAAATCTTAAAAGGTATGCTGGTTAGAAATGTTAAAGACAATAATGTACACCTCTGAAAGGATTAAAATAAGATATCTAAAACAAGCCCTGACCCGTGTGGCTCACTTGGTTGGGTGTCATCCTGTAAAGTGAAGGGTCGACACTTTGATTCCCAGTCAGGGCACATGCCTGGGTTGCAGGTTCAATCCCCAGTCAGGACGTGTGCGAGGGGCAACTGATCAATGTTTCTCCCCTCTCTTTCTTGCTCCCTTCCCTCTCTCTAAATAAAGAAAATAGAATCTTTTTTTTTTTAAACAAAAGATACCTAAAATAAGACTATAAATGGACTTCCATAGAGTTTTAAGACCCTTCTGATTTCTAAGATTAGTGCTAATCTTGGGGTATTGGGAATATAAAAGCCCACAATACTCTTTATTTTTTACCACAAGTAATTAAAAAATCAAACTAACTGACCAATGTCTGTCTTCCCCTTGGTGAGCAATGCCTCTCTGGGCAGTTCAGCTCTTCAAAAAGCCTTTCAGATACAGGCTTACCAGAGGGACCTTAAATCTTCCAAATTTGTTCCCATCTAGTCTTACCCTTTGCCTAGTTTCCATCTGGGAAAAGGCTGAGCAAACACCAACAGAAGTAATGGAAAGATTTTTAATGGCTTGGCAAGAAGAGCTCTATCCAGATAGCAACTGTCACATGGTTCAGGAAAAGGTCCTCCTGCTGAATCATCCCCACTTCCTGAGGTTCTTCAGGATGTTTAGAGGAAATGTGTCACCTAAATGAGACCCAGTGCTCTTTTGTGGTGCTCTTTTGTACTAAAAGACGGTTTCATAGGATCCAAATAAAATAAGAGGAAAATATACTGCTAGATTCGTCATCACCAACTTCACATTTAGTTAGAGATGGTCTTAACCATCTTTTTAAATCAGGCTAGTTTTTGGCCTGTTTCTATTTTTCTTTAGCACATCACATCTGCTCCTGCCTCTTGACAACATACATATTCTGTATTCCTCTATTTTCCCTTTTACTACCAACCTCACATCTGGGAAGGTGGCCACATCTCTGTGCTAAAGATTGTAGGATGCAATTTGTATTTCCTGGGAGGACTGAATTCTCACAATCCAGCGAGGAAATGGGTACACAAAAGATGACACTAAAGATTGCACATTCAAGGGTCAAAGTACTACAGGACTCCGAGTAGGACACATAAAAAGACTTCAGAGACAAGCCATCACTGGGTAGGACCTTAAAAGGGGGGAAACAGAGTGTGCTTAAGTTTACAAAGTTGTAGAGCAACCACACAGGATAAAAGTTTATATTAGAAACTTCAGAGCCCAAAAGACCTGGATCCAAAATTCTGGCTCCCTTTGACCAGAAACAGGAATTGCAGGAGCTACAATCAAATTGTCAGGCTGATG